GGGAAGAGGAATGCTAATGTCAGGGTGTCCCCCTCCCCCCTGGTCCTATCTCCACAGAGCAAGGGGGGACATGACAGGGCTCAGGACAGAGGGAGCTTGCTGGAAGCAGCTGCTATCTCAACTTGCCGATCTTCTTAAAAAGGTAGTGTACTTAGAGTGGGGGTGAGTGTACTTAAAGGGGGATATCCCCGAAAGGGGGATATCGTGGGCCAAGTACAACAGTTTGTGGCGGTACCTCTGGGGAACCACCAGCTGCCTCCCGACTTTCCAAGATTCAAAGTTCGCCCTGAACCAGCCCATTCCCGGTACAGGAATCCCTTCTCCCACAGGAATCGCTCCCGGCGGTCCTCCTCCTGGGACCGTGCACTGCTGTGGCCGGCCAGGGCCCTCAGTTTCTCCAAGGAGAGATCCACCTGCAGCTCCATTTGGAATTCAGCTGCTGGGTCTGAGGATACAGCCCTGGCTGGTGGCGCCTCAGTTTCCCCACCTTGGGACGGAGGCTCCGGCCCAACCCTGTCGAGCCCTACCCTCGGTGCTTCAGCCCCCCGCTCGGTAGGTCCCGTGCCCTTCGCTGGCTCTGGCTCCGGGTAAGGACCAGGGCGCTCTGAATGCCATCCGGCCAGTTCTCCAAGTCATTACCCATTAGCACCTCGGTAGGCAGGTGATCGTGCACCCCGACCTCTTTGGGTCCCTCCTTAGCCCCCCCATTTCAGGTGTATCCTCGCTACAGGCACCTTGACGGGGGGCCCAAACACTCCCCTCAGGGTCAGGTAGGCATCGGGCACTAGCTGGTCAGGGTCCACCACCTCGGACCGCGCCAGCGTCACCTCTGCACCCGTGTACAAGAACCCCTGGACGCTCCTTCCCCCCACCTCAATGGGGATGATGTGGAGATTGTCCCCCGGGGCCTGTCCCACGCTCACCCGGCGGATTGGGTACGGGTGCTCTGGGTCTGGGGCCCCACCTTCCCCTGCTGGCCTGGCCTGGCGGTCCCCTCCCCCTGGCACAGCCCTCTCGACTGCAGCCCCCGGGCCCGGCGGTGCCCCCTCTCGGTGGGCTTCCACCCAGTTAACACCCCGCGGGTTCTGCATGGCTGCCATTTCCTTCATCTTCAGGCACTGGGCCACCTTGTGCCCCTTTTGGCCACAGTAATTACATTTCAGGTCCCTCACGTCCCACGACGGGGGTCGCCCCGTCCCGCAGGTCATAGTCCCCCTTCTCAACACCATCCATTTGGCTGAACGCCTGTATGGCTTTGGGACTCAGCAGGGGGGTCAGCCAGCGAAGCCTGTCTGCGCGGTCAATCTGGTTCAGTTCACAAGCCTTCACACAGGCTGTGAGGTAGGCATCAATATCCCCCCCCTATTCGAAGTGGGGCAGCAGTTTGGTGTCTAGATTCCCCACACCACTGGCGGCTCGGGGCCCTTCCCCACTTACCCCCCGGCAGGCCCTCTTGGCCCGCCTCTCGTCCATCTCCAACTCGTGCTTCCGCTGTTCTACACGGTCCACCAGCCTCCGCTCCTTTGCTTTCAGCTGCAGTTCCAGTCTCCGCAGCTCCTCAAAGGAGGAACCTGACTGGGGTCTCCCTGTACTGACTGGGGAGTCAGGTCTGACCCACTCCCGGTCACTACACAGACTGCCCCCACGGCTACTCCCCGGCTCTCCGGGCACCCCGGGAGCCCCCCTGGGGTCTGGAGCCTGCACCTCAGACGGGTCATTCTCTACAAGCTGAGCAATCAGCCGCTCCTTAGTGAGCCTACCCATGCTCAGCCCTCTCTCCCTGCACAGACGTGCCAGGTCGCTCTTACGGAGCTGGTTCTAGGCCATTTCCAGGCTGGTTCCGTTCAATACCCTCGTTCTATCACTGGCAGCCACTCACCGCAAAGCGCCGGCGCTCGCAGCCCACGTCTACAGGGTGCATCCACGAACAATCCCGCTTCTGACACCACGTTGTCACGGACTCACAGATCATGCCCACTCCTGGTCCCATGCAGTCCGTGGGGGTGCCCCTGTTAGTGATACAGCCCTTCGCGGGGGTACACTCTCTCTCGGGGTCAGGCCCCTCCACCTCCTGGAGCCGCACCTCTCGGAGCCTTAGCACACCTGTTTCTCACCGTGGGCCCCCTCAGGGAGTCCACTCGCTCTGGACCCCTGGGCCTCCACCCCCAAAGGGGTTGATGCAACCCTGTTCTCTAGACCAGAGTGACTCTCAGCCAGCATAAAACAGGAGGGTTTATTGAGAGTTGAACACAGCATGGGAAGCTCTCAGGGCCTCAGGCCTGGCCTCCCTCAGCCCAGCACATCCCAGTCTCTGCACCCCGGTCGGCTCTGCCTGCTCCCCCTGCGCACAGGCCATGGCCCCTCCTGCCCTCTCCCAGCCCATCCCCTGCTCCCTTGGTGCCCCGGGGGCACATAGTCGTGCGCCCCACAAGGTGGGAGGGAGGCTTCAGGCCTGTGAGCTGTGCTATGCTGTGATGAAGTGGGGGGTTTTCTTGTTTTCAGTGAGGTTTCAATGGTTTGCATGCGGAGGGGGTGGGACTCAGTTTCCCGGGGTGGGACTGGTTTAACGAGGGGAGGGGAGAGGGAGTTTGTTGTTGCAGAGGACCAGAGAGAGAACTTGGGGCCCCAGCCGATGGCCTGGAGGATGGATACCCCAGCGACCGGTGACCTGGCGACCTGGTGACCCGGAGGCCCAGCTTAGAAGCTGCAGCCGGTTCTGGCCAGTGGGCGGACAATGGGCTGCAGAGTGAGGACCCAGTGACCTAACCAGCCGGTTCCAGCCAGAGGACAGAAGCGAGGAGAGGAGGCCCCGGTTTACAACCCTGTTTCCCTGAAGAGAAGACAATGGACAGAGGCGGGGCTTGGGGGAGGTGATATCAGATGCCCAGCTGGGAAGCAGGGGGGCTCTGGGCTGGAGAGAGGGAGCCGAGGTTCCCACCGAGAGGCAGGGTGCCAGGCTGTGCTGGGAGGGGTGCAGGGAGCCAGGGCTGGGCCAGCACCCCAAGGCGGTGAAGGAGGATGAGATGGGGGCAGAAGGGGGGTTCTCTTTAACCCTTTGCAGACTGGACAGACACAGCCTGGGGCTCAGTGGCTGGATCACATCCCCCCCAAAGCCAGTCGCTGGTAGCAGCCTCTGTGCGCCCCCCATCGCTGGCAGAGGGGTGACAGGAGGGGGAGGGGCTATGCCTTGGGTCCCAGGGAGGGGAGTTAGGAATGGCTGAGGCTGTACATAACGGAGTCTGACTCTTCCCCTATCCCATCAGTGGGGCGGTGGCCATGGGGCACAGAGAGCCACATCCCTAGATGGGAGCCTGGCCTGCCCCCTGCCCTAACAGCCAAGCAGCCTGGGGGTCCCGTCCCGTCCCCTCTCCCGTCCCTCCCCAAGAACTGACAGCGCTGCCAAGAGTAGTGGGGAAGGTGCTTTATTGGGAAGAGCAGGTGGCTCTGGGGGCAGCAAGCTGTGGGGGGCAGAGTCTCTGCGGGGAGGGGGCTGCTTCTAGACGTCCTCAGGGGCCTCCTGGTCGAGGGTTTGGACGTCATCCAGGAAGCTCTTGGGGGTTAGGATGTGACTGGAACCTGGGGGGGGAGAGAGGTGGTTGGCAGCGGTGGGCACAGTGGGGCGGGCATGAGGCTGGCATCACCATCTCCCCCATCCTTGCAGCTGGACCCTGCTCTAGTGCAGGGGGGGAGGGGCTGTCTCCTGCCCCCCGCGGCCTGGCACCGCACCCCTCGTGTCGCTGTACCCTGCACGGCCAGGCAAGAATCCATGCGCTGACAGCGTTCCTCACCCTTGGGTCTTAGAGGGGTGTGTGCAGGGGGTGAGCCATATCCCTATGGGTGTTACTGGGGGTGTCTGACTGGACCCCCACACATGGTCCCTGGGCAAGGAGAGGCCTGGGGAGCCAGGGACTAGGAGATCAGGTGTCTAGATACAGGCCATGCGTGGCTGAGGCAGGTGGGGCAAGCGCATCTATTCCCAGGCCCCCGGGTGCGGGAGGACAGAGGGTGGCAGGGGCGCCCTGTGGGTGCTAGGCAGGCAGTTCTAGGGTCTCCCCCTCCCAGGGGGTCCCGACTGTCCCTGACCTGGGCATTCCAGCCGCCTCTCCCCCCAGGACTCGCCCCACTCACCGATCACCACCTCCCACTCGCCCTTGGTGGCCCGGGTCACTTCATAGGCACAGCGCATCTCAGACATGGTCACCCCACCCAGCACGTAGATGATGAGGCGCGGACCCGTCAGGTACTCGGCCGCTGGCTTGCTCTTGTGCCAATGCCCGAAGCGGGTGCTGGGGGAGAAAGGAGCAGTGTGGATACCAGGGGCTCGCTGAGGGAAGGCCAGGTGGAGGGATGGGCACTGCCCGAAGCGGGGGCTGGGGGGAGAGGGGCAGTGTGGATACCAGGGGCTCGCTGAGGGAAGGCCAGGTGGAGGGATGGGCACTGCCCGAAGCGGGGGCTGGGGGGAGAGAGGGGCTGTGTGGATACCAGGGGCTCGCTGAGGGAAGGCCAGGCAGAGGGATGGGCACTGCCCGAAGTGGGGGCTGGGGGTAGAGGGGCTGTGTGGATACCAGGGGCTCGCTGAGGTAAGGCCAGATGGAAGGGCAGGGCCTGGAGGGGGATGGGGGGCAGGCCCTGCCCAAGGGAGTGGGACAGGAGTCCCAAAGGAGGCAAGAGGGAGAAGGGGAGGGTGGCACCTGCCCTGGGCTGGGCTGGGGGTGCTGTCTAAAGCTCAGCCAGACCCTTTCCTCCATCCTGAGCCCTGGTGTGTTGAGGGACTGCTGGGGTGCGGGGGACATGGTGAGAGGGGTCCAGGGCTCCAGGCTCTTGGACACCCCCTCCCCCGTAGAGGACAGGGTCCTGGCCACGCACTCCCAGGCACAGACGCTCCTACACCCGGGGGGGGGGAGTGTCAGGGCTCTACCCCCCACAGCCCAGCCAGGCTCAGCCTTACCTGACGGTAGCCTGGGAGCTGGTGGTAGGGACCTGGTCTGACACGAAGGGCCACAGCTTCTCGTCCAGTTTCTTCTCAATGATGTCCTGGACAGAGGGAGGGGGGAAGAGGACAGGTCAGCAGGGGCTAAGCAGCAGGAACCTTGGACCTGGTGGCCAAGCCAGGCCCCATTGGGGGGAGGGGCTGGGACGGCTCCTCCCTGAATGATTGACAGTCCCTGTGGGAGCAGCCTGGGGCCCCCTTTCTGGGGTGGGACATGGGAAGCCAGGAAAAAGCATGTTGACTCCTCCCGTGATGCCCCCCCCATCTCCCCACCTTCCCCTCAGCTGCTCAGTGCCCTGCTGTGAACTCCCCACCCATCCACCGTTATGGGGAGGGCAGAGACCTCCTGCAGCCAGATCCAGGGCCCCTCCCTTGGGGGAGGAGGGAGGCAGGGGGCTGCCCTCAGTGCCCCTTCCCTGCTGCGGGCAGATCCAGGCCCTGCCTCTTGCCCCATGAGGTGTGTCCCAGCCACGCAGGGGGCCCAGGCTATGATACATCCTAATACCACATAATAGGGGCTTTTACATTAATCCGCTGCGTTGACTTGTACAGGGAGGCTTAAGGCCTGCCGAGCTGCGGCTAGCGCGGGGGGTGGGGGTGGGGGTGGGGGGGGGTTGGATTAGGCACAGGATTGAGGCTACCACAACTGCCTGCCCCAAAATCCCACAGGAGGAACCATCACAGCGCTGGAGCAGGGGCCTGGGAGCCTCCCTCGGGTGGGGGGGTTAATTCTTGGCCTGGAGGAGCCCCAAGGCAGTAGGCTGAAGGCAACTAAGTGTGCCCCCCACCCTCTTGAAGAGTGCCCCACAGGGCAGGGCGATGAGGGGCTCAGCCCCCAGCAAGCATTGGGGGAAGGAGCGACCATGTCACCTCTCACAAGCTAAGCAGGTTTGGGCCCAGGCAGCGCTTGGATAGGAGACCTCTAAGGAAAAGCCAGTGGGTGCTGGGGGGTGCTAGTGAGTCAGCAGAGGGTGCCTTATGTCCCCAGTGCGGCGCTAGGGGGCGCTGTACTGCCAGGAGCGGGCGGGGGGCTCAGCAGGGGGCGCTCTCCCCTGGCAGTCAGGGCTGGCCCCAGTGCGGCACTAGGGGGCGCTGGGCTGCAGGGAGCGGGCGGGGGGCTCAGCAGGGGGCGCTCTCCCCTGGCAGTCAGTGACCAGTACTGTGCTGCAGGAGTTCGTCCTTTAGATGAACGTCAATCAGCTGCTCCTCACTGGAGGTTAGGCCAAGGACCCTGCCGGCCATTCAGATTCCAGTGCCAGTCATGACAGTGGGCTGCCTGGATCCCCTGCACTTCCAGCCCCCCACGCTGATCACCTCCTGCCCTAGACTCTCGGGCAGTGCTGCTGTGCGGCTGTTAACAGCTGCCTGCCACTCCTCAGGAGGAATTCAGCCCCGGTGAGGGACCCCTGTATAAACCGCCCGTGCCCCACCCCAGAGGTGGCAGCATCTCAGTACTGGGTAAGACAACTGCCCTGCACTCGTGTTTATGATCTAAGACCCCTAAGGATGGCAGCAGGAGAGGACTTTCTGATGAGCCCCTCACATGGCTAGAGCCCTGCACGGATACAAAAATGTGGATGTGCATCAGCCCGCGATCCACTAGCCGTCTGTATCCGCATCCTCATGGGTAGCAGCAAGCCCTCACAAGGGCTAGCGAAGGGGGGAAGGGGTCTTGCTTGGAAGAGGCAGCGCGAGGGTGGGGCTTGGGGGTAAGGGGCAGCTTGGAGGGGGTGGGGGCTTGGGGGAAGGGGCAGCGTGGAGGGGGCAGGGTCTAGAGGAGAATGGGTAGCGCGGGGGCGGGGTCTCAAGAAGGGGCAGCGTGGAGGGGGTGGGGGCTGGTGGGAGGGGTTTCTCATCACGTGATGCTCCTGGGGGGTCACAAGCGACGGTACACGGCAGCAGCAGAGCATGTTGCATCACACTGGGGTGCTGCCCGGGAGCTGGTGGGGACGCTGGTGCTGCTCAGCGT